TCCATCCATCCATCCATCCATCCATCCATCCATCCGCTCACCCGTCCATCCATCCATCGATCCGTCCATCCATCCACACATCTGTCCATCCATCCATCCATCCATCCATCCATCCATCCATTCATCCACACATCCATCTACCCATCCACACATCCATCCATCCATCCTCCCACCCACCTGCCCATCCACGCAACCACCCACCCATCTATGCACCCATCCTCCCACTCACCCATCCACCTACCCATCCATACTCCCACCCATCCATCCACCCATTCACCCACCTTCCCTTCCAGCCACTCATCCACCCACCCACCCACCCATCCATCCACTCACACATCCATCCGTTCACCCATCCAACCATCTATCTACCCACCCACCCATCCCCTATCCATCCATTCATCCATCATCATTCTATCCATCCATCCATCCATCCATCCATCCATCCATCCATCCAAACCCTCATCAAACATACTCTCTGGGGAGCCCACATCAGATCCTAGGGGTGTCCCCAGCTCTGTGTGGCCCCTAGCCATGGAGGATGTGATCTTTCTGGGGAGAGGTGGTGAGGGAAGGTTCCCTGGAGCAGGTGAGCTCTGTCCGCAGGTGGAAAGCCCAGGCTCCAGGCCCGTGAGGCAGTGGTACTGCCATGGACAGGGCAGTGGCTGGTGGGCAGTGCTGTGGGCACTGGCTCAGGACAGAAGGGCAGGCACTTCTTTGCGGGGAGGGCTTGTTAGCACCCTGTTCACCGTGTCACAGATGTACAGGCCTGGCAGGCTGGTGGGCAGTGCTGGGTGGAAGCCTAGCTCTGGGTGGAAGCCTGGCTCAGGGCGGATGGACGGTTGGTTGTCTGCAGGGAGGGCTTGTTAGTGCTGTTTGCCATGTTAGAGGCACAGGCCTGGTGGGCTGGTGGGCAGTGCTGGGTGGAAGCCTGGCTTGGGGATGGATGGACGGTTGCTCATGGGCAGGGAGGGCTTGCTAGTGCCCTGTTTACCACGTTAGAGGCGCAGGCCTGGCGGGCGGCCAGCACAGCTGTGTGTTGCTCAGAGCTCGGATTGCACAATGGCTGGCAGCCTCAGGGGCTGTTTTGCACCAAGCGCAGCTGGAGAACACAGAACACAGCCGCCTCCTCACAGCCGTCAGAATGGACACTGCTGGGGAGAGGCCTTGAGCCCGCTGAGTCCATACCCCCGGCAGCGGGGCTGGCCAGGACGGGTGTGCTGCTGACCCAGCATCGGCCGTTGGGTGACTGAGAGCTGCTGTCCCTCTGACCGAGCTTCCTGCTGCTGACCCACTGTTGAAGGCCCCACCTCAGGACAGTGGAGCCACGGCCCACAGCTTGGACTGAGACCTCAGGGCCATGCCCCCTTCCCATTCCACAGATGGGCAGCCTGAGGGGCTGGGGCAGGGAGCGGGGTGTTTGAGGGGACACTGAGTCTAAAGGACTCCAGCAGGAGGATTAAAGCAGGCACTGCCCCCATGTTAGATACAGGAGATGGGGCTCACTGTGCCCCCATTCTGTGAGCCCCAGAGGTTATCCCATGCACTCTGCACCCTCTCTTCTCTCCCTGCTCCCCTACAGGGGACACTGAAGAAGGTGTGATGCTGGGCCACTGCCCAGATACCTCCCCCCTGCAGACTGGCCCCTCCTACCCAGGACCCTGCTTCGGGGCAGAAGAATGTGGGAGTACCCGCTGCCCACCCCCAGCACTCCCTCTCCCTCTGATGCTCCTGACACCTAGTTGTGACCCACGGGCCAGGTCCCATCACAGCTGGGGACAGTGGCCATGGGGAGGTTCCAAGATGGACAAGCTAGGGCATGGCCAGTGACTGCCCTGTCCGCATGGCCACCCGTGCCCGTGGCCACCCTGTCCACATGGCCACCCGTGCCCGTCCTGTCCTTGTGAAACAGGCTCTTGCCCTAGAGGTGAGTGAGTCCTGGGAGGAGGCCTATTAGACTGTGCTAGTTAGCCCACCTGGACCAGATTTAGGATTGGGGATCAGGGTGATGAGACCGGCGCATCTCCACCTCACTGTCCACAGAGCAGTGGAAGAAGGGGGTGCTGGCCCCCTCCGGACAGCTGACCCAGCAGATCCTGCAAGCAGAGAGCCACTGCCTTTGGGATGGATGGCTTCACTCCTCTAGCAAGGTCTAGGGAACCCAGCCCAGGCAGTGGACGGAGGTCCTGGGAAATTCCAGCCACTCAGCTCGCTTGCTCGACAACTTTAATTCCATACAGTAGAGAAATGTACAGTACAAGCAACATGTGACTTGACTTTACAGCAAAGCTCACAATATGCCCCACGACGTGTCCCCAGGAGAGACGGCACCGGGCCCTGCTGGGCCCAGCACCACGGAAAGAAAATGCCCCTTCCCGTGTGGGGGGGCCGGCTCAGTCCTCGTATGGGGCCCTCCCACAGTTCCTGGTCCTTCTGCCTCGGCCCCAGGTCCTCCTACAACTTTGACCCAAACCTGAGGGGTGGGTTCGTGTCACTGTCCTCAGGGCATCCAGCTCAGGACACTCCTGTACCTGGGAGCCAGGGTGGCTCTGCTGTCTGGGGGCCGAGGGTGGGGCGGACAGCCCCTGTCACAGAGGTGGACAGAGGGGCATGGGGACAGAGAGTTGTGGGGACTGTGGGTCCAAGAAGGCCTTCACAGAAGAGGGCACCTGACAGTGGGGTAGGGGTCAGTGTGTGTGTTTGGGGGCGCGGGTATGGTTCAGGAAGGCCTTCACAGAGGAGGGGTCCTGAAGGTGGGGAAGAGGACAGTGGGGGGGATGGGCCATATGGGCGTTTCAGAGAGGTGCACAGGTGAGGGGGACCATGAGATCATATCTGGAACCCAGGACGGCAGCTGCTGGGACCTCAAGGCACCGGGGCTCCTGAGGCCGACGTCGGAGCCCGGCCGGCTCTTGAAGGGGGCTGTGGCTTGCTGAGGACGCCCGAGGCCCTCCATGCTCACCCCGGCTGGTGGGCACTGGCCAGCGCTCACAGGACCACCTCGGGCGCGATGCTGAAGAGCAGGTCGTCATTGCCTCGTCTCACCTCCAGCAGCAGTGGGGACTCCGTCAGCACAGCCTCCTGCAGCTCGCTTGAGTCCACCAGGGGCCGTCCGTTCACCTTGACGATGAGGTCACCGTCCTGGATGCCACCTCTGCTGACAGGGAGACTGGTCACCACGACAGTCGGCCAGGCCGGGGCCCTGAGAGCCCCTTCCCCTAACTGCGCGAGGTCGTAAACCAGAACCTCACACCGTGAGCCGGCGAGTCCCCCCACCAGCTCAGCAGCCCCGGGTGTCAGAGAGCGCCGCTTGGGGCAGCCTTGCAGGTCAGCAGGCTTCTCTTCCGAGGCACGTCCATGGACTTGACCTCTAACGACTTGGTTAAGTGCTTTAACGGTTTGCAACACTGGAGGCTCCTCAAGATCTTACACCAGAGAAGAATAGTGTCGTGATGGCCAAGCGCGCCCCAGGGGTTACATCCTGGGATCAGGGGGACTGGGCCCCAAACCCCACCGACAAACGCCTGGACTGAGAACCTGTGGTGCAGTCACACAAAGGAACACTACGCAGCACTCAAGGCAGATCTGGAAAAACGCTATGTAACATGGACGGAGCTCTAATGGCCTGGTGGTAAGAAGCTGCCCTTCAGTCTCAAAGGCACACGGTTCCAATCCACCAGCTGCTCTGCGGGAGAAGGATGGACAATCGCCTCCCCTGCAATTTACCGTCTCTGAAAATCCACTGGAGGGTCAGCTGTGGGTCGGTGCCAACTCGACAGCACACAGCCACAGCATATAACATGGGAGAGGCTGGTGGGCGTTATGCTCAGTGAAGTAACTCAGTCTCATAAGGACAAATACTGCATCAGAGCATTATTGTAAAAACAGAGGGTACAAAGATGTGTACAAAAGTGCAAAGAGGGGGCTGAGCGTGGGGAGGGGGAAATCATGAGGTCACAGAGTTTGGTGGGCAGAGGGAGGGGATGAAAGAATTAGACCCAGTGAGGACCTGAAAAGGTAAGGCCATGTTGGGCATGGATCAGGGGTGATTAATTTCTAAAACACAATGTGAATAAAGGAATATGTGGAACACAATATATTGAATTTTGTACGTAAATGGATATAAAATGAACTTTTTTAAAATAAAAGGACAAGGCTCCAGCCTTGCCCGGTGATCCTCAGGCCCCCGTAGCTCCGCACGCACAACACCTTCCAGTGGTCAAGTGTGGGATTAAGGCCACTGAAATGGCTGAGTCCTGTACAGACGGAGGCAGAGCCCTGGGCCGGCCTCCCCATGAATGTCCCCCTCTGGGCCTTTCTCGCCCAGGACATCATAGTGGTCAGCGCTGGGCACCGGGTGAGGCCAACCTGGCTCTGAGCACCTGCCCCACTCCTGCTCGCTGGGTGACCCTGGAGAAGTTGACTCTTTGACCCTCAGTCTCCTTTCTTGTGCAATGGGCTGACAGTGAGATCCAGCCCTGCCTGGCTGAAGCGAGGAGGAACAGGGGTGCTGCTGTGGGGCTGTGGGGTGCGGCTGGCTCCTGCCCGCTCTCCCCGCAGGGCTGACTCGGGGGCACCCACATGGGGAGTCAGCCCCTCAAACTGCTGCCACTCGAGTCAGCCATGCCAGCGACCAGCTGAACACAGGGCCTGCCCTCGGCCACGTGTGCTGTGTGCACCCCCTCATAACCTCGCTCCCCTCAGGTAGATGATGCCACCTGTGGCTGTGGGCTCCACCTACGTTCTCCCCCATGAATTGCCCCCAAGGGTGCGGTGCTCAGAGAAGGCCCTCTTATCAACTCCATGTGCCCCCCCATTCTGTAAGAGTCCTGGTCCTCCACTCGCAGGTGTATGGTGGTACCCTGGAAGCAGGTTTTAATCACTTGCTATGAATCTGAGGGCTGGACAATGACCAAGGATGACAGAAGAATTGACGCCTTTGAGCTGTGGTGTTGGAGAAGAGCACTGAACACCCCACGGACGGCTGAGAGAACAAACGGGTACGTCTTGGAGAGGGTGCAGCCGGAGTGCTCTCTGGAGGCCAAGATGTGAGGTTTTGTCTTTCCTTCTCTGACCACATTGCTAGCAAAGGGACATCAGGCTTGGGAAGGTGGAGGGACATCAAAGGAGAGGAAGACCCTCAACCCGGTGATCGACACGGTGACTACAGCAGTGGGCCTGAGTGTGCCAGAGATTGTGAGGACGGCACAGGACAGGACAGGGCTCAGATCTGCTGTTCACGGTGTCACCATGAGTCATACTTGACTCAATGACACCTACCAACGCCGCACACTAGTGAGAAGACGAGATTCTGTTAGGAGAGCGTTTTCTTCACTGTGTTAACAAGCTCCTATTAGGAGGGGGACACACACACACACACACACACACACGTAACTGCCCCCGCTGTGAGGAGCCAGGGAAGCGGAGGGCAACCAAGGACAGAACCAGGAGGCACCGACCCTGCGAGGTTCTGGTTTGACTTCCAGCCTCAGAGCCGTGAGGATGTCATGCTCTGACCTAGGCAGCTGCCTGCTGTGGTGTCTGCATTCGGTCACCGAGATGGACAGGCCTTCTCTCCAGAAGGCCTCATGGACACCACAGAGCATCCAACAGAAGGGGGTCCTGCCTTGTCAGAGAGGCCGAGTGGGACTGGACACCATGGACTGCTCTGTAGATCAGCTCAGTCTCTGACCCAGTCCACCCATTGCCTAGACAAGTACACTGAGGCCAATGCCCAACAGACCAATTGCTGGCCAGCTGGCCTCATGTGCTGCAGCACATTTTCAGGGGCTTATTTTTCAGAAGCAGACTGCTGGGCTTTTCTTACATGGAGCGCTGTGTGCAGAACACAAGCACTAGGTCTTTCAGCTAGCTCTCAGTGACTTTTACTCTCAGGGACTCCGAGGCCGAAGCATGGAGAGTGATTTGTCTGAGGAGCACGTCCGTGCCCTGTCACACTGATGTCACCACCCTGGACTGGTGTGCTGCTGAGGCCGCGTCTCCCCAGCACTGTCTAACACTGCACCGTCTTACCTGGTGGAAGGGCAGGATGGACTGTTCCGCTTTACAGGCAAGGAGACTGAGGCCCAGCCAGGTATGGGGAAGGGGAAAGGCACAGAGAAGGGGGGAGGCACATGGTGGGGCTGGGGGTTGGAGGCACAGAGCAGGGGAGAGGCACCGGGCACGAGGAGGACGGGGAATGACTGCGTGGGTGAGTGTTTTATGCCCCACACTGCTCTCTCTCCAGACCCAGAAGGAAGGACATTTGACAGCTTTCCTTTTTTTTTTTGACAGGTTTCTCCCCATCATATCACCTTGCCAAGAAGCTCAAGGTCAAACTTAGATCCTTGAGGTAAGTGTATGAGCCTGCCCCAGCGCTGGCCCCCTTGGCCCTCCCACCTGGCCTCCGACACTTACTTCTGAGAAGGTGAGTTGGGGACAACCTCCTGCACGTAGATCCCACTGCTGACTTCTGGGAAGTCGGGGTTGCTGGCCTTCAGCTCCTCCACCAGGCTGGAAGAGAGTTTGCCCAGTGGATTCCCTTGGAGCCTGGAGCCAGCTCTGGGGTGGGAAGTCATCCTTCCCTCTGCCCATAGGACAGGTGAGACAGTTCCCCGAAAGAGGCCCTTGGAGCCCAGAGCCAGATCTGCAGTGGGAAGTCACCCTTCCCTCTGCCCACAGGACAGGTGAGACAGTTCCCTGACAGGCACCCTTGGAAGCCGGAGCCAGCTCCAGGTCAGGATGGCCCTCGTTGGGCCCCGCCACACTGTCCTGCCACTGAGTACTGCAGTCAGGGAGGTTCTGCCCTGCCTCGAACAGCTGCAGCGTTATCAGGGGGTCAACTCCACCCCAGAAGTCACACATGGACAAGAAGATGGGTCTGAAGGCTGCGCGGCGTGGCCCTGCCTTGTCCAGGCCCTGGGTGGATGGCACACTCTCCCTCTCCCATCCCTCTCACCCTGTCAGCATTGCTGGGGCACCCACTCTATAGCAGACCTGGTACCAAATAGGACAGAGTGACAGGGGAGTCCTTGCTGCAAAGCATCTCAGGTCAGTGGGGAGGTGACCCCAGGAGCTGGTGTCCCCACAACAGGAACAGGGCACCTGCAGGGTGGAACTCCCAGCCAAGAGGAGGTGCCTCCCCCCGCCTACATGCCTGGGGGTGCAGTGGGCTGAAGAGTGCTCCCCAGATACACCTCCACACAGAGCCTCAGCATGGGACCATGTTTGGAAATGGGGTCTTTGTAAATGTGACTGTGAAGGGTCCTGAGATAAAATCGGGATTAAGCTGGTGTCTGTCAGGGAAAGGAGGCCGAGGTCTGGACGGCCTGGGGACGGTCTGGATGGCATGGGGACAGCTCTGTGAAGATGGAGGCAGAGGCCAAAACAATGTGGCCACGTGCTCGGCAAATGCCTGGCCACCAGGCGTGGAAGAGGCACGGAGGAGCCCCCTTGAGAGCTGCAGAGGGACACGCGTTCCTGACGCCTGGTGCTGCCTGCAGGAGGGAAACTGGCTTCCAGCCCTGACCCATTCCCTGCAGGCAAAGCCATCACCCCTCCCAGTGGCCAGCAGGACAGGGAACTGCCCATGGCCTCCTATGGCTGAGGTCTTGGCCTGGGACAGAGACGAGAGCAGAGAAGCAAAGATGTGCTGACACCCTCAGTGCAGAGAACTGACCCTCAGTTCCCAGGCCCCGACACCATGGGGGCTGGGTGGCGTCCAGTCCAGCTCCCACCACTGACCACGCTAAAGGGGTCGCAAAAGGAGGTCCAGGCAGAGCAGGGGGTGGGGAGCGGAACAGGGACCACACCTAAACCACTGGCCCCGTATAGACTGGTGGGGCACAGAGACTGTGGCCCCGAGTCAGACCTGGAACAAAATTCACATTCCCCCCCCCAGCCTTCAGCCAAACAACAGACAAACAGGACCAGGAGGCAGCCAGGGGCACCAGGGAGGACTCATCTGGAGCACAACTAACCACACAGAGTCCAGAGGGCAGCACTTGCCAAGGAAGGAGCTCAGGAGGCGGGAAGGGGTGGGACAAAGGAGTGGGAATGAAGGGAGGAGGTGGGATAAGTGCTGTAGTTAATGTCACAGTGAAAGGACACATATGGTGAAAGGAAGGGCACCAGGGGAAGCCAACACCGTGGGGGAAATCTGCCCCGAGCGGCTAACAGGTCCACAACCAGCGAGTGCTTGGCAGCCATGTGCGTACCCACTGAGCCACCAGGGCCCCCCTGAGGCCCAAACCTACTCAAACCCACTGCCACAGGATCTTCTGACCCATCACAGCTCTCCACCACGTCGCCAAACTTTAAATCTTATCAGGAGTGGACTCCAGCAGGAGTAGTTTGTTACTGCCCGCCTTGGGTAAATCCAGGAGGCTCCCTGGAGGAGGGGTACCTGAGTGGAGTCCACTGCTACAAAGGAAGACTCCCGCAGAGGAAGGAGAAAGGAGTCCTGGGCTCAAGGGCCAGAGCAGGTCTGTCCCTCTGAACACCCACAAGTAGCCAGTGCAGCAGGGCCAGGTGTGGGGGGCCAGAGGTAAGGGTGCTGGTGACCGGAGGCCAGGATGTGAGTGACCAGAGGTCAGGGTGCACATATCAAAAGGTCAGGATGCACATTACCAGAATGTGGGTGACCAGAGGATAGGGTGCAGGTGACCAGAGGCCAGGGTTCAGGTGACCAGAGGATAGGGTGCAGGTGACCAGAGGCCAGGGTGCAGGTGACCAGAGACCAGGGTACAGGTGACCAGAGGCCAGGGTTCAGGTGACCAGAGTGTAGGGTGCAGGTGACCAGAGGCCAGGGTGCAGGTGACCAGAGGATAGGGTGCAGGTGACTTGAGGCCAGGGTGCAGGTGACCAGAGTGTAGGGTGCAGGTGACCAGAAGCCAGGGCTCAGGTGACCAGAGACCAGGGTACAGGTGACCAGAGACCAGGGTACAGGTGACCAGAGCGTAGGGTTCAGGTGACCAGAGCGTAGAGTTCAGGTGACCAGAGGCCAGGGTGTCCAGCGGGGTGCAGGGCTGCCCTCCACTGACCTGGGAGTGATGGTCCGCATCCGGATGCCAATGAAACGCTTCTTCCAGTCTGTAAACAAAACAGCCAGAGTGGTCACATGGTGACGACCATGGGGGCAGGATCCCTGACAGCAGCACGGGGGCCTCTGCCCAGCTCCCAGCGGCCTCCTCCTCCTCACTGGCTGGAGCCCAGCTCTGACCCCAGTTCCCCACCACCCTGTGCTCACACAGGTCATCCCTGATCGCTCTTCCAGCAGGCAGCACCCCCACTGCGTGGCCACCTGACCTGTTGTCCCCAGAGATGGCAATGTCACGTGGGCACTGATCTCACCCTGGCCCATGGGGGCATCACCCACACAGGTGCCCAGGCCGTCAAGACAGGACCAGAGGCATCTCTGACCCCTCTGTCCCTTCTCCCTGGAAGCAGCCTGGGGGGCTCCTGCTTGATGCCCCACCCACCCTGTGCTGACCCCTGCCCCCCTCTGCTGTCCGTCTCAGCGCTGCCCTCAGAAGCAGCGGGGTGAATGAACCCTCCTCGTTCTCCAGCAGCCCCACCCAGGAGATCACAGAAGGGGGTCAGTTCCTGGGGAGGCAGGTCCCTACCAGGCAGGGGATGATGTGGGGACACGATGGTGGTGCCAGAGGGGGGTCATGCCACACTTTTAGGGTCTGACTGGACACTGAGGAACAGATAGGAGTGAGCAAGGAGACATGGCTGGGGAGGGCGCGCTGCCTCCTGGGGTCCGACTGGACACTGAGGGGAGACGAGGGATTAGCCAGCGGACAGGGTCGGAGAGGGCACGCTGCCTCCTGGGGTCTGACTGGGCAGGATTCCATCAGGGGACAGGGCTGGAGAAGGACACACCATCTTCCAGTGCTGACTGAATTGACAGGAGTTTGCCAAGGTCAGGGTCAGGAGGGACACCCCCACAAGGACACAGAGAGGCATGGAGACAAGGAGGTGAGGGGAGTCTGAGGGTCCAGCACGGGCAGGCTGTGTGGGAGAAGTGGCCTGCGTCCGTGGGGGAACGGGGATGGGCAGGCGGCCCGGGCCCTGGAGAGCAGGGGACAGGGCACCGCACCACTCTTCACTCTGTCCAGTATGAGGCCTGAGGGGGCCCCGTCCTGCTCCTGGCCAAGCCTCCGAGGGGCCCAGCTGGAGGGGGCCAGGTCGCTGAGCCATGCCCGCCTTCAGTTTCTCTTGGCCTGCCTGTAGCTTTGTGAGGGCAAAGTTCCTGGAGCACCCCCAAAAACCCTGCTCACTTGAGCTGTCTGTACCCCATGCCCTTCCTGGGGCAACACCCCCCGCCCCCAGGGTGCACACTGGCCATGTTTGAAGGTGTGGCTGAATCTCAAAACTCTTCAAGAGTCTGACTTAGACTTGGGCCAACACGGAGAAAAGGGCCTGATCCTCCAAGAGGTGCTTCAGCAGACGGAGTCCAAGACACCACGGCTCAGGACCTGGGTGCCGGCTCCAAGATGGGAACAAGCACAGGCGCCCAGGAGCGTCCCCTGATCTGTCCCCTGAGCTGCCCGCAGAGGTGAGCAGGGCACACCCTGGAGCGTCCCCTGAGCTGTCCGCAGAGGTGAGCAGGGAGACTGAGGGTCTCAGTGTGCTGGACAGGAAGCAGGGGGTCTGGGAGGGCTACCCGTGGTACAGGGACTCTCCCAGGAGCCCTTCAGGGTCCAGGAGGTATGATTCGTGCAAGGCTGTGACCTAACAGGTGCCTCCAGGTGCCCTCTGCCTGTCAACCAAGCCAGAGCCATTGCTATCGAGTCTGCCTCATGGCCACCCGCCAGCACATGTCGAGGGCTGAGCTCTTACAAGAGGAGATTGCTCCTTTTTCTCCTGCCGAGGCTGGTGGATTTGAATTGCCAACCTTCCAGGTAGCAGCCCCGCATGTAACACACTGTGCCACCAGGGGCCTTGTTGCTTAAGTCACTGAAGATGTTTCGTGGGGCCCCCAGCGGGCTTCCCGAGACTGTGCATCGCAGGGAGGACTGTCCATCCTTCTCCCCCAGAGCCTCTGATGGAGTCAAGTGGCCCGAGAGCTGCGGGCTGTGGGTCAGCAGGAACTCCCTGCCGACCACGCCACCAAGCACCACTCCAGATCCCTTACCTTAGCAAAGCTTAACCGACATCTGGAAGTTCAAAATACTTTCAAACCTCGCTGGGTCTCAGAAAATCTCCTCCCCTGAACTCCAAACTCAGTAACAATTACAAAGATGGGGGGGAAAAAAAAAAGTCTAGTCCCCAACAGAGTACAATTCTTGTTGCTGCGGCATCAAGGTGAAGGTGCCACGGGACTGGGGCCGACACATTGAACCCGTGCACAGCACCCCACCCCCAGTTCTGTACCGTTCCCCACTCACGACGCCCGAGCCACTCTCACAGGCACTGTCTGTCCACCTTGGAGAAGGCCGTCCTCTCGCTCTCCTGCTGACCTCCCCCTTCCCGGCATGATGTCCTTTTCCGAGGCCGGGGCCCCTCCTGACCACAGGCCACAGCATGTGAGAGGACTTTCGCCATCGTGTTTCTCAGGAGCGCCCTGGCAGCCCTTCTCCCAGACAGCTTTTCCTGGCAGCCACGCCATGAAAAACACCAGTCATAAAAGCCAGCAAGACGTGACCTGCAGAGAGGACACGGTCAATTAAACCAGCCCACATGGCATCACGTATCCCGGGCCAGCAGACAAGACCCTCATGGAAAAGGAAATTACACCACGCAAAGTACAGTCACCGACCATTACAGGAGTAAACGATAACCCAACAACAGAAAGGCGTTCAGACAATCCTCCTGTACTTGGAAGCGAAAGAACACATTTTAATGAATCCCTTGCCAACAAACAAATGAAATGTTGGTAAAAAGCCGGGTAAAAATCCCAGCAGAGCAAAATGGGTTGGGATCAAGTGAAACATCACAGAGGAAAACTGTAGCATGGAAATGCCTGTATCAGAAAAGATGAAAGTTCCAAACCAGTAACCTCTCGCCTTAAACACCAGAACAATGCAAGTGACACCACGCGAGCAGACACAAGACAATAAAAGGAGCAGAAATCAGGGGAGTCAGGAAAAGAGAGACAGTTTAGAGGAAATGGACAAGTTCTTGGAAATTTCCAAACTGCTAATATTTAATCAAGGGGGGGAATAGGTAAAACCCCAGCACTTAGATGCCACTTCCCATTGATTTTGTCGTTGTTGTTAGGTGCTGTCGAGTCGAGTACGACTCACAGCGACCCTGTGAACAAAAGATCTGAACCCTGTTCTGTCCTGCACCATCCTCACACTTCCTGACACACAACAGCCCACTGCGGGAGTCACCATGTCAGTCCACCTGGCTGAGGGTCTTCCTCTCCTTCGCCGACCCTCCACCCTTCCCAGCATCATGTCCTTCTCAGAGGAACAGCCCCTCCTAGCAACATGCCCAAAGTACATGAGATAAAGCCTCGTCATTCTTGCCTCCAAAGAGCACTCCGGCTGCACCGTCTCTGAGACATAGCTGCTCTTTCTCCTGACCGTTCACGGGATGTTCAGAGCTCTTCTCCACCACAGCTCCAAGTCCCACTGACGAGGATGGTTATAATGAAAGGTGAGATGGGAGCAGACACCAGCGGGGATCGGGAGAAACCGGGGCTTTAGTGTTTGGCTGGTGGGATGTAAATGGTGCAGCCACTTTGGAAAACAACCTAACAGTTCTGAAACGATCGCACACAGCTACCAGATTAAACCAAATGTTATGTACTCTCATGAGAAAGGAAAACGTACCCACAACCAATCCTTGCACACAAACGCCCATTGCAGCATTCTCCAAAACAGTCAACAGTGGAGAGACCCCCATGCCCGGCACTGGATAAACGAATACGCAAAGCGCGGTCTGTCTTTGGAGTGGCGTTCACCTCTGACAGGAAGTGCGTGCCAAAACCTGCGACCACGTGTGCGGATGAGCCTCAGACACAGCTCGGTATGTGACAAAAAGAAACAGAGGTGAAAGAACGCACACCCTCTGACTTCACCGAGACAAAGTCTAGGTCCCGAAGAGCTGTTTCCAGCGTCAATGAGCTCAGACGTGACCCTCGGACGAAGCTGTGCCTGACCCACACTATGATGCGTCCGGTCACCTCTCGTGCATGTGGACGGTGAATAAGGACGATCAGAGAGGAATGACGCCCTGGAACTACCGTGCTGGACAAGTGCCCACACCGGGGACCGAGGAGGGGCAGGCAAGTCTGTCATGGAAGCAGTGTGACCAGAGCACCCCTCGGCCAGAGCGCCCCTCAGAAGGCAGGACACACAGACGTGGTCTCGGGGACTCTTGTCAGGAGGGACCAGTCCTGGGAGAAGGACATCATGCTTGAACAGCAGGGGCGAGTGGAGAGGACGACCGTCAAGCCTGTGTTGGCCGCAGTGGCAGCAGCAGTGGAGAGATGGTGGGGGACCGGGCAGTGGTGGGCTGTGCTGTCTGCAAGGTGGCCATCAGCTGGAAGGGGCCCACCGCCTAACAACAGTGAGAGCTGGGCATTGAGTGAGGAAGGTGAAGGACGACGGCGGCCTCTGCGGGTGCTGGCCAGGGGTGCTGCCTCCCTGACAACCGGCAGGGGAATGGGTGAGGGACCCTGACGGGGAAGAGGCGCAAACAGACGGCTCCTTCAACAGGAGCTCCTCCGTTTCCCTACTTCGGCCATGTCCCTTCAGGAGGGGCTGGTCCCCAGGGGGCAGCATGCTTGAAAGGAGGGGGTCAGAAAAAGAAATAGGAGGAGACCTTCCACAAGGTGGACTAAGCACCATGACTGCTAGTGGGAGGAAACTGGCGGATTTGAACCACTAACCTTTGCTTAACAGACCAACGTGCGTTACACCACATCACCGGGACCACCTCACAGATGAGCTGAAAGGGAAGAGACAGTCACACTTCTCGGGAACTCAAACCTTCTGGAGCCTCAGAAGCAGGATAAACACCCCTCCACCAAACCACGGTCCTGAGAGATCTTTAGATCTCAAGCCCAAACTGGCCCCTTCCTGAAGTCATTAAATCCAAACAAATGGTACTTTATTGTTGTTGCTGTTGTTGTT